ACCTAAGCCTAAATCAGTCTTTAATATGGCCGAATTATGACGCTGTTTTGGCCCCTCTAAACCTTTCTAATTCCCTTATCACCGCTAGTGAATTGACATGTTTGCGACATTTTATCTTCCAAATTTATGTAGCAACTCAATTTGATACCGTACTACGAGTTTGAATACTCTCTGAGGAGATGACAACAAAACAAGTCTCGTCAAGTTTAGACTTAGCCACGGTAAAAAATCAGACTTAGCCACGATCATAAATTCTAGACTTAGCCAAGTGGTAGGGGTATTACTAACTCCAGTGTTATGAAACACCTTATGTTCAGCAAATGGCCGAGCTCCCTTCTTTAGCCTCCCAAGTTTGCAAAGATGGATCAACGGCACAGACTCACAGCGGTGTACACTGCACACAACAGCCTGCAAGCCTCACCTTCACCTTGTATAGTAGTCCCCTGCAATGACACATGATAAGATGGACAGGAGAATTGGATCAAAAGTTCAGAACCAACTAAATATGCTTGGTGAACAATACCATTTGTTCTAGGAAAAATATCAATTATTACACCAATAAATTGAGACAAGTAATTCAACTGTCCAGTAATCAGGTACTTCATAGCTTACAGTCCAATCTATCTAAAAAAAAGCTTACAGTCCAATCTCTATCAGGAGCAGTATATAGAGAATTAAAAATGAAGAATTCCTGGGAGCATGAAAGAAGCACCTACCAACACAGATAACTTGTCAGAAAAAAGCATGACATAAACAATAAAACACCAAATGAAAAGTATGTATTAGAAAAATTTAAATACAAACACAGATAACTTGAAACAGATTGATTAAAAAACATTGCAATTGCAATTCTAGATAATTATTGGATACTCTACTAGTTGGACTGGATTCTTGGTTCTTAGACTTGGATACTTGTCTTCCGGCCTGTTCGCTTGTTGGTTTCAGCCAGCCCAAACCAGCCAGCCAACAGTATTTTTCTCTCACAAAAAATCAGCACCAGCCAGCCCAAACCAGCACCGGCACCAACCAGCGAACAGGCCCTTCAACTACAACTACAATATTATCTATAAAAATACTTAAGTACGAAAGATTGGAGAGTTTTTTCTCTCATAAAGAAGCATCGTGTGGAAGTTGGTAAAGAGTAAGAAACATACATTCTAGAGAACCACAGAAACAAGGAGAATGTTGCTAGAAACAGTTTAGGTCCGAAGGTAGAATGCTGCACATATAGTTGAATCGAAAATTCCTGCTGTTAACTAATGGTAAATAATGCCTGCATATATATGTAAAGGAAAAAGTCTACTCCACCCCCCAACTATGGGGGGTGGTCTACATAACCCCCTCAACTATGAAACGGTCTGATTTACCCTCTGAACTTTTCAAAACCGTCTATTTTACCCCCATGCGGTTTTCAGCGGCGGTTTTGCTACAGTAGCAGGGGGTTTGTCTTTTTCCTTATTTCCGCTGAATCTTTGAAAAATCATAAAATGGAAAATCTAATTTTGTTGGACTCCACATGAGTAGATCTACACAGTGAACATATAATATAGTACGCTTTAGTACAAAGTTTTTGCTGTAGCTTTAGATTGATTGGAAAATCTAATTTTGTCTGTAATTAATTAGAATAATTCATAACTGCAGCTTCTATGGTCCAATTGTGGTGAAATTTTTATGGTAGGTTAATTATTATATGCTTAAACTATAGTAAAAATTTCATACTCATTGGACCATGTATAACTTAGTTATAGATAAATTCTAATTAATTACAGACAAAATTAGATTTTCTAATTAATATAAATCTACAGTAAAAGTTTTGTGCTAAAGTGTACCATATTATATGTTCACTGTATAGATCTTCTCATGTGGAGTCCAACAAAATTAGATTTTCCATTTTATGATTTTTCTGTGATTTACTATGATTTTTCAAAGATTTAGTGGAAATAAGGAAAAAAGACAAAACCCCTACCACTGTAGCAAAACCGTCGCTGAAAACCGCCTGAGGGGTAAAATAGACGGTTTTGAAAAGTTCAGGGGATAAATCAGACCGTTTCATAGTTGAGGGGGTTATGTAGACCACCCCCATAGTTGGGGGGGTGGAGTAGACTTTTTCCTATATGTAAAATGCCATCATGCATCATCTATATGTGCAGTGAGATCATGAATTTCCAGTACAAAATAAGATCATACATGGCAATTAATCCAACGAAAACAAAAGCAAGATCAAATAAGATCCTACAAGAAATGTCAGAGCACATTGCATCCCAACCAGTTCAGCACCTAGTTTTTACTGAACATGCTATCAATTATCTGAAATTTACAGTTTGAGCACCAAATCAATGTTAATAAAATTAATCCACCAAGCTTATTCATCCCTTCCAGATATAAGTGAAGGTGATCACTTAATAGAAATAACCGAAGATGTATGACACCTCAATTCTAGAAATAACATTGTAGAAACTAAGAGAACACATGTATGCTGCTGCCGCTGCCACTCCTAATGAAGAAACTAAGAGAACACAGGACACCCCTTAGGCCTCTAGATCTGCAAGGATCAATTCGGCACCTAGTTTATTTAACTCGTCACAAGTTGCAAATGACTCTACTGCATACAGAAGTGGAGAAAAAAAGACACAACGGAGGAAGACAGAGAGAGGACTTTCACCGTGCAGAGGGCTCACCAGAGACGGATCTGCAAAGACGACAACGCCTCCTCGCTGGGCTGCGACCTCCGCGCGCCACCATCGGCCGTGGGGACCATGACCTTCGCACGCCGCCCTCGACCGTCGAGGCCGCGACCTTCGCGCGTCGACCTTGGCGCTGGTGCTATGACCTCCACGCGCCACCTATGGCCTAGGCCGGCGACTCCCCAGTCATCTCCGCCTCGCCGGCATGGAGAGGTCCCCAACTAGGACGCACGAGAGGTGCGGCGGGAGGCGTTGGGCGAGAGAGAAGAAATGAAGAGAGGAAAAGGAAAGGAAGGAAGAGAGAAAGAAAAATGACCCTATGTAAGGCCGGCTCGGCGCCAGGATCTATGGCGCCAAACTCGACGCCAAGATTAACGACACCGAGCTGGCTGCCATGTCACTCCCGGCTCTACTTTGATGCCGATGTGGCCCTCCGATCTAAGCGCCAAACCCTTTGGCGCCGAGACGTCCCGGCTCTACTTTGATGATGACGTGGCCCCCCGATCTAGGCGCCAAACCCTTTGGCGCCGAGACATGTAAGCTCGGCGCCACCAATAATGACGTCGAGCTAAGGGTCTAGATTTTAAAAGCATACCTCCTGGACTTGTCTATCCTGTTCAACGAACCAAGAACGGTGGCATCCACGGCCAACGGCACGGCACTGGGCGCTGGCCACCTGCTCCGCGGCAAGGGTAAGGCACCTGCCCTGCTCCTTCGTGAGCCACACACCCTGGCCCCTCGTGGCCACCGCGAACACCATCACATTCCTCAGCGTCAGCTGCTGGCTGAACGCTGGCCACGGCCCCACGACGAGCGCGCGCCGGAACAGGACACCGCGACGTTGCCGCCGCCGCGGTACTCCATTTTGTAATCTAGTTGCATTTTGTTTCAGTTATAGACTTGCATTAGGTGCATGTTTATCTTGTAATCGGTCACGGGTGGCAGTCGCGTGCTTGTACACGCCATGACTGCGTCCAATTTCTGTGTCCACCTGCCACGGTGATCACGGCAGGCACGTAGCGCACGTCATCGCAAAATCAGGGGCGTCGTCCACTGTGCGAGGGAGCTGTGGCGGGGAGGTCGAGCTACGAAGCCCGTGTATGCATTGTGTATATGCGTCGCCCACCGTTCCTGTTCGTTGCCGATCCTGGCCGAGCTGCAATCTCCGGCAGCCGGTCTCAACACTCCACGATGACAGTTTCGTTGCGGCAGTTGTCCGCGTGCATGGCAGCGTCGAGCTGCTAGGAGAGGATCAAGGAAGAGGAGGACCGGTGAGGGCAGCGGGCCGGCGGCGTTGATGTCGCGCATGGAGAGCGACGCGACGGAGAAGGACGGCGCGCGGCGGTGGATCGGAAGGCGAGATACACGCCGCCGACGAAGGAGGCGGTGGTGCATGTGCATCAACAGGCGCGGCGGAGCATGCAGCAACAGGCGATGCCCACTCTGGACTTTGAAGCCCACCATGCCCGTGCGGCTACGCTTCGGCAAGGTGCTGCGGACGTTGACCGTTCATGTCACTATGTCAGGGCGCACAGCGACGTGGTGGTCGACAGGCTCTCCGGCGACGTGGCCGGCAACAGGGGTGCAGGGTAGGGTCAGGCCGCTCTAGTGGTGGTGGTGATTGCCGTCACGCTGGCTCGCGTCGATGGGCGCTACCTGAACAAGACGGACAGGCAGAGGAGGAAGAATTATTGCTTGGTTTGTTTGGGCCGTTGGATGGTCTTCGAATGGCTGAAAATGATCGAGTGCTTAAGTTGCAGTAGCAACAGCAACTGCACGGGATCTGAGTCCCCCTAATACCGACCCGGCAGCCCACATTAATTGTGGTAGCCCAAAACTCCCAAACTGACGCTGACGTGGAAAGTCAAAAAAGTCGTCGTCATTTCGTGCCCGCACGTCAGTACACCAGTCCAAGGCCGTCCCGGTACGCGATTGTGGCGCCCCACTAAAAATCAAGCTTTTAAACCCATCGCTATAATCCTCCAAGTCCCCTCACCAATAGCGCACCCTTTACGTTTCACTGGACTAGCGGCCCCACGCTTGGCTGGCCCCACACGACAGTGGCTTGAACAGGTCGCAACGCCAGCGCCAGCGCCAGCGCCTGACGGAAAATATCATGCTAGTTGCTCACGTTCCCCGGTTAGTTGAGCTCTTTCCCTTCCTCGCATCGAATCGAACCAAATCAAATCGGAGCGGCGGAGCAAAACGATCCGTCGCCCCGCTTCCCTTCGATTCAGCTCGACCAGGGCACTAATCGGGAAGCTAATGCCACGCAAGTCGCGAGATCTGTAGCGCCACTTCGGCTTCGCGGTGGGTATGGAGGCGCAGAACGGCGCCGGCGGAGGGGCGCCCGTGGTGCTCAACGTGTACGACCTGACGCCCATGAACAACTACCTCTATTGGTTCGGCCTCGGTGTTTTCCACTCCGGAATCGAAGGTGCTTATGTTTCCACTCCCTCTTGCCTCGGATTGCCGGAATTTGGTTTCGTTGTTGTGTACAGTTGAAGTTGTACATATTCTCGGGTTCGTACAATACCTGTTTGAAAGGGCTGCTGTGACTAGGAGTTACCCAAAATCGTAGTCTAGTGATTGAAGAGGGGAAAGCGATAGTTTATAGTTGAAGAGAAGGGGGCGGAATATTGCGATAGATTTGTTTTGAATTCCCAGGATGTTACTAGTTTCTGCTGCTGTTCATAAGCAAGAAAAGGAATTCGATTAGTATGTTCTGGGCACGGAAGAAAACTGCTAAATCGGGGGTCAATTTTTACATTCGCTGTTTCTGACATGGTTAGGCAGCTGTTTTTGTCTTGTCGAAGTTTGAAGCTTCAAGGGCTGTAACGTGCTCAAATTGGGCACAGGTGAACTGTGGCATAGGGATGGACACTTAAAAGTTTTGAGTAGTAAGGGTGAATATTGTCTCTAAATAGGCGTATCATGTTATGCATTGGCAATGGCTGGAATAATAGTTCGCGGGGGTTGGTAGACGTGTGTGGCTTATTTGCTGTTCTAAAACTGAAGAATCTGTCCTTCACTTTTCTGTGGTACACTGGTTTGTAGTGCTGTACTTTACACTATTTATCTGTAAGGTTGTACCATTAGTTCTCGGTCAAAAAAAAAGTTGTACCATTAGCAGTTGTCATTACCTTTGTAAGGTTGTACCATTAGTTCCCGGTGTAAAAAAAAAGTTGTACCATTAGCAGTTGTCATTACCTCTTGACTTCCATTTGGTAGCTTGCATTGTGCTAGCTAACTGATTTTTATGATCTTAAACTCAAACACTGGTGTATGGTTTACTCAAATAAGCAGTTCATGGAATGGAGTATGGATTTGGAGCACACGAGTTTCCAACAAGTGGGGTATTTGAGGTGGAACCGAAAAGCTGTCCTGGTTTCATCTACAGAAGATCTGTGTGGATGGGCACAACTGACTTGTCTAGAGCAGAGTTCCGCTCTTTCATTGAAAATCTTGCAGGAAAGTACAATGGGAACACGTATCATTTGATTTCAAAGAATTGCAACCATTTTACAGATGATGTCTGTAAGAACTTGACCAGGAAATCAATCCCTGGGTGGGTGAATCGGCTAGCAAGAGTGGGTTGGTATCACCAGCTTAATATGTCTTCGTCCTGATGTGCTTCAGACTTTTTAGGTATCTGATTGTTTTTTCCCCTATATTTAGGTTCATTTTTCAACTGTCTTCTACCAGAAGGCATCCAAGTTTCCACAGTAAGACACGTCCCTACTCATCCTGCATTTTCTGGTGAGTTTGTGCCCGAAAGTTCTTATACGGATTTGTGCAGTTGACCTGAGTTTTTTTAATGAGCTGCTACCTAAATGCCTAGACCTTGTTGTTAAACTTTACATTTTTAACTGTCCTATATACATCAACTGATCAATATATGGAACCTCCATTTGACTGGTATTCCTTGGTGTAATGAGTGATTGACCATCCTGAGTATTTTACTAGTGAGTAATCTGGTAGCCTTTTGGTCATATTCAAAATAACCACCAGGAGATCAAACTTTCTCTCTCTCCATTTGACCTAGCATACTTTCGTCTTCATGGAACATTAATCTGATTTGCTTGATGGTTGTGTCATGCATGACTCATAATATACCTAGTAAAAAAGAGGTAATGATAATATCTAGCTAGCAAGTTAGATAGGGTTGAGTTATCAACACTACAGATTATTGATTTTCTTCAGCTCAATATCATGTAACCTTCTATAAGCCACTCCAGATTCTAACTGAGATTTGCAAACAGTAGTAGATAGTTTATATATGCTGTGTCATCTTGTTCATTTGCTAGTTATCTTCTATTTTGTTCACATTTTGCTGCCCTATTTTCTCACTTTCTTAGATGATGATATGGATTCAGTATCTTCATCGGTTATTGGAGATAGTGATCTGGAAGAGTTGGACCAACACCTTCTGCCATCAACTGCTGACGTCCATTCTATAGACGTGCCACCAAAGCTAGCCAAAGATCTTCTCTGAATTATTCAAGCCTTTGGGTTCCACATAGCAAGGATAACTTCGAATGCTGCAGTTGATGTCCACTGAGTGCTTCTCCGGCTGTCGCAGGACTGAGGGAGTGTAGATGAATGCTGCTGATTGTATTGATTCTTTGCCACTGAGTTTGTTACATACACACATAGCTCTCGACAGAAATGGCATGCTTTCTAATTCTTTGCCTGTCATGACTCGTGAGTTGTGACTTCATCCTAAGTATCTTGTGTTCGAGTGATACTGTACGCACTAGAGACGTGAGTTGTGGCACTGCGGAACTGGCCTGTCCGAAAGTGGCACCAGGCTGTGGATCGTGATAAGGATAATACTGAAAGTCTGAAACGACCTGTGTGCCAACTGCCAATCCTTATCTAGCGGCCTTAGCCAGCACATGTTGTATTGTAACATATAAGTACCATAGAAGTACTTATGTTTATAATGGCTATTCCGTGGCTGATTGATTTTTTGTGTGCTATTTGTGTTTGGACTGGATCATAAATTCATAATCTAAAGTCCCATTTGGAAGATGAGAAATGTTCTAGGGTTTTTAAGGATCTAATACATATTTTTACTAAGTTCTAGGGATTTACTCCCTCTATTTCAAAATATAGGTCGTATTAGGATTTGGAAAGTCAGACTTTGCAAGTCTTGACAAAGAAAAAAAACAAATTATATGTATGCTTAGTAGAGTAAAGATTGTGTCGACAGATTCACATAACATATATATCTCTTAATGAAAATTGGTTTTTGTAACAATTAGTACTAGGTGTTTGGTCGCTTCAAAAAACAATAGTAGAGCTGTAGAGGTGATGGTGTTTGTGACCCGCTCAAGTCCATGGTGCCATGGAGTTTAGAGTTAGAGCAGTTCTAAGCAGTAAGCAGACCCTTTAGGTTTCAAAGCGGTGATGCAGATGCTTATGCTCTTCTGTTGAGTTTCAATGCGGCCTTTGCTAAGTCTCACATACTACAAACGTCTGTATTGAGTTAGGTAAAAAAAAAAAATCCTTCATGCGTACTGTAGGTGTGTAATATATCAACAATGTACACCAACTAATTTTGTCTCCATCAAACTGTATGCAATGCAACTGCAGCTTTGTTTTCCTAGAAGCATGCGTCAGCGTCATAACTGTGGTCAGGGTCACTGAGTTCCCAGCGTCAGAACATTGTACGTTAATTAAGAAATGCTTTGATAGGGTCAGGACGATTGTTCCCGCGTTCCAGAACGGGAACGACGCTCCTAGTCCTAGGACGAGGAGCATAGCATGATTTCACATTCCCTGTAACTTGTAACCCACAGGCCACAGGGTCTTAGGGAAACGGCTGTCAATGGCACAGGCCACAGGGTCTTAGGGAAACGGCTGTCAATGGCAATCCATCTGAATTGTCCTTCAAATTTTGCTTAGTTAATTCACACCTTTTAATTCTGTCATTTTGACAATGATCACTCTAGTAGCAGGCAAAAAGGTTCATTTCATTACATATTTGGTTGAAAGGGAAAAAAATGGATCTTGGTCCTGCACGCTGCACCTGCTGTGTTCGGCATGCAAAGAGAAGTATTTCATTATTTGTGTACCATGCTCATGCCTAGTTATCAGATATGCTGCTGTCTCCACCCCAAAGATTACTGACGCATAAATATCTGCACCACGATTTGATAGGGCTTTATCCTAGAAAAGGGACAGCATGAGTCAATGACCCATAGGCGATAGGCCATTGCTTCAAAAACAGATATAAATCAACTAGTGTTTACAAAAAAGACTATACAGTGTGCACTCGATCATATGCATGATCAGAGCAGGACACAAATATATAGAAACAGACACAAATATGCATGATCATAGGACTCCTTCCAATGTGTTTACCAGGAACAAAACACGCTAGTTAACAGCTGAAGAGATCTGTTCTAGGCATATCGTTGTAATATGTCTGGCATATTGGTTGGTTCTTGGTTGCCACAATGAAATGATTGACTATAGCAGTTGTCATGCCGTATATATGCAAGAATTTGAATTGATCCACATGATTCACCCACGATTATCGCTGAATTCAGATCCAGGAGATTTCAAATTGTAGAGCATTGATCTTTGAATGTTCTATTTTTGTAAAGCGCACAAGTTGATGTGAACTTTTTTCTCCAACAACCGCCCATTATGCATATGGAGGACCTTGACAATTGTCGTGTGCAAAGCATCTTGATGTTTTCCCTCTGATTCTTGCCCCTCCTGTATCTTATCTGTAAGCTCAATTGGCATATCAGAAAGCTCCAGGTTCTTGAGATGCACAAGGTTCTCAATGCCTTGGGATATTTTAGTTAGTTCAAAACAGTGGCTAAGCATCAATTTATCTAGATTTACAAGGCTCCCCTGTTGAAAATCTAGGTGAGAAAGGTTAGCTAAGTCATCTAACCTTAGTTTTCGTAGTACAGGAAAAACACCCGCTGCAAAGATCAAGCTCTTCTCTTCATATGCATCCACGAGGCTAAGATCAAACAACCTAGGAAGTGATGACAGCAATCCAATTGAATCTTCCTTAAGTTTAGAAGAATGCAACTGCAGCTGCATCAGGCCACTAAGGTGACCAAACCATGAAGGTAACTTATTCCCTATTAACCTCCCTGCTAGGGTGAATTTTTGTAGCTTCAATGGTGGTGGTGAAAATGACTGGAGGTCCAGTTGTACATCAGCATCCCGACCTACAATTCTAAGGCATAGAAGGTAGCTCATTTTAGAGATGGCTGATGGCAAATGAATAAGATTGCCCTCATGCACACCACATAGTTCTAAGGTCCTCAACTGTTTCAAGCTTCCTAAGGATCTGACCATTTCCTCATTAGCTTCGATGTATTTCAGAGTCTGCAGACAGGTCAGATTTCCCATCCCACCTGGAAGAACAACTGCTTTACCAGGATACGGAAACCTAAAATCTGCAGTGTGGCGTCTAAACAATATCAGGTGGCGCGAGTTTTGTTATGCTGCTTGGCAACCTCTGGACCATGGACCACTTGGCATCTAAAGTTTGCAGCTTATGTAATCGTCCCAATTCATGTGGTAGCTCTTTGATTAAAGTGGAACGGATGCCAATATAGCGCAGATTGAGGAGATTGGTCACTGCACTAGGCAGCTTATCTATTGGAACGTACCATAAGTTTAGAACTGTTAGTAATCTGAAGCGAGACAGCAGTGAAGCATTCAATTCTGCTTTGAATCCATGGAGGGACCGAAGTGATGCCATCTGTGGAGCTGGAAGGTCACTACTTCCGCATCGATCAATTATGAGATGACGGAAATTACTGTTTGACTCAAATGTTGGTGTGCACTTTGAGAATACGAAGTGTCCCTCCTTTGCCGACCTACTCAGAATCAACTCTCTGATCAAATCATGTATTTGGAACCGCTTGGCGCGTCCAAACTCATTTTTCTTCACGACCTGCAGCAGGCTTCGTTGCACTAGCTGGTTCAGGTAATCATCAGCGACATCCTCCATTGTGGCATGGTTTTTTTCCTCAACAAAGCCTTCAGCAATCCACTTCCTTATCAAAATCTTCCTTTTGACAAAGAAATCCTCTGGGTATATACTACAATAAAGAAAACATCTCTTTAGATGGTATGGTAGATCATCAATACTCAGATTCAGTATGCTTGACACTTGCCCAATTCCATGATCAGTGCTTTCATCCCACACAAGACTGTCATGGACGCTCTTCCAAGCAAACTCACTTTTCTCCTTCAAAGCAAGGACATTGCCAACTGACACAATCGCCAATGGTAGACCACTACATTTGTTCAGTATCTCCAAAGCCCAGTGCTCCAAATGCTGAGGGCACTCTCGATCAGCATCCTCCCTGAATGTTGTATTATAAAATAAGCACCACGCTTCCTTCTCAGGAAGCGGCTTCAGCAGGATGGTCCTGGTGGATTTTGCCAGATTAGCCACGTCTTGACTGCGTGTAGTGATGATTATCCGGCTCCGGGTTCCATCGTCAACAAATGCACTGCGGATCTCATACCATGCAGCCGCGTCCCAGACGTCATCCAGCAACACCAAGTACCTTTTCTTGGACAAAATGCCTTGCAAAGCCTCCACCAGCGATCGGTAACTCGTCTCTTCAACGTCCTTTGGCACGCCGGCGCGAACGTCCCGCTGAAGTTCTTTCAAGACTCTCTTCAAGAGGTTCTCCCTCGTGAAGTTCTTGGAGACGGACACCCATGCGGCGCAATCGAAGTGGAAGCTAGCGGCAACTTCCCTGAAGACGTTGGTCACTAGAGTGGTCTTGCCAACACCACCCATCCCCAAGACGGTGACCAGCGTCCGCCGGGGCTCCATGTCCTCGGTCAGCCATTCCATCAGTAAGCTCCTCTGCGCCGCAAAGCCAACTATATCCTCTTCTCCGAGAAAGTGCGCCGTATCTGCTACCTTCCGGCTGATGAAGCTCGCGCTGCCGCCAACTGCATACGATCTCTCCGCGTCCGCGGAGGAAATCGCCGGCAAGATGCCGTATTGCTCCTTGGCGGCCGACAGTTCGCGGAGTCTGTCCCGCGCCTTCTGCAGTCGCCTAGAGAGCGCGAACCAGGCGCCTAAATTGGCGCAGCTGCGGATGAAGCCTCGGCCGGATAGGTAGGAGTGCTCGTCCACGACGTCCTCGAGCTCGAAGGCAGCGTTGCGAACCTGATTGATCCAGGCGACGGCGAGATCGTTGGTGCCGCGGCGAGAATCGGCGAAGCGGAGGAAGGCACGGAGGAGCTCGAGCTCGCGCACGGCGGCGGCGACCCCGGAGCGAATGGCGAAGAGGGAGGACAGCTCCACGGCTGCCGGCTCGGACAAGGACGCGGCCGCCTTCGCCGAGAGGGATACGGCGATCATCTCCGCCATGGAGAGCTTAGGATCTGGAGTTAGGGACTAAGTCAACAGACCGAAAAGATACTTGACCAGTTGAGAGGTGTTGAGTGACCGAAGTCACCGAAGTGAGCTGGAGCTGAAGAAATATGAGTGGCTGGGTATGTCACAGGAGTGGGTTATGGATTGGCAGTCAATGTGACCGACCAATATTCCTATAAATTATGGTTTCCTTGTTTGAGTAAGCTACTAAAAGAAATCAGGGTGCATGAGAAGCAAGATCTACATCTCATGCTACATTTCGCAATGAGGCTTGTTCTATCTAAATTGCAAGATACTGAATTGATTTTTTAGCTTGAATCTGAAGAAGCTGCTACTTTTATCCAGGTAGCTCATTTGGTTGAACTATTACTCTATTAGTGTTTTTCTCTATTCCATGTTCTATTTTGCTCAATGAGTCTAATTAGCAAAAATCTACTCCCTCCATTCCAAATTGTAAGTCGTTTTGGCTTTTCTAGGTGCATAGCTTTTTTTTACATACCTAGACATAGTATACACCTAGAAAAGCCAAAACGTCTTACAATTTGGTACAGAGGAAGTATTATCTTATTCATTTACTGGCAAGTTAATAGTGAACTCCAGAAATTGTTTAGTCTTTATTTTTATGTGCTGTCATCTTTATTTGCCTCTCGTAGGGTTCTCTTGGAGCAGTTATGGAGGAAGTTGTCTTGTGTGGTGTGTATGCCAGAGATGAAAAAAAAAGAGAAATATGTCTGGTGACATTATTAAGGACGTCAGAGATTTTGCAAAAGCAATACTCAAAACTGTTACTGGATGGATGACTGCTTCAACATATTTGAGAGGAATTACTCAACTGTTAGATCATTCAGATAGTCATGTGAAAAGAAAGGTACTTGTTGGTTAGCAGATTTTTGTTCTATTGGTTTTACCTTTTTTTTTCCAATGTCATTGCAATTGATTTATACTTCTCTACAGACACTTGGGATGTTGTCTGAAACTGCTAGGTGAAACAGTTTGGTCCAGAAGCAAAGGAAAGCCTGAAGCATAACTCTGGTACTACTACAATTAAAGTAGACAAGAGCTCTGGTCCTTATTTCAGCAAATTGTGCTTAAAGATTCTGGAGTTGTTTGACAAAGAAGTTGATTCAGAAACTTCAGTGAAAATTGCTGCTATTTTTTTGCCTGAAACAATAGCAAAAGAATATCCCTCTGATAATCCTGTTTATAGCAACTGCCTTGCAACAATCATTGATCACATTGGCTCTGATGAGGCAGCTGTGTCTTCTGTATTACTTAATTCATACTGTGGGCTCTCTGATAAATGTGATTGGATCAGAAGCATTACCACAACTCCCATTAATCATGAAAAATATAATGCTAATATCACATCAGATTTCATGTTGCCCTAGTGGAAATTATGCTTATGGTTCAACTAGAACTGTTCCGGGACTTTCTAACCAAGACATAGCTGTGCTGCTATCTGCACTGACAACAATTGGGGTGGTTGTGGAAAAGCTGGGTGAATTTGTTAATCCATATTTGAAGGAAACACTTGATCTGGTTATGGCCGAACTGCATCCTGAATGTAGCGCTCAAATGCATGCCAAATTAGATGCAAAAGCAGCACATGTTCGAGAGCTACTGACTGTTAAAGTTCCAGTATGGCCCTGTTCGCTGGGATGAATTTGAAGAAATCTGAATGAATCTGTGAGAGAGTGAACAGTGTTTTTCAGCTTAGCACAGTGAATTCCGGCTGGTATTCATACCAGCCGAACGGCCCCTAAATTTGTTCAATTTTTTTCTTGGTCATATGATGAAACATGAACGTCCCTGTTTTCCTTGAATCTCGTCGAGTTATCGGCTGCAGGTCCGGCTTATCCTCCCACCTTTACTGAATATGTACTCCCTTGCTGCAAATGTGGACATACAAGCCTTTCGTTTGGCATTCGATATGCTTGCTAGTCTAGTTGGTACAATGGACCGGCTGGCTGTAGGAACCTACAACAACAACCACAGAGCCTTTTAACTCCCAAATAAATTAGGATAGACTAGAGTTGAAACCTAGCAGAAACAATCAAGATTCAGACATGTGAATAGTTGTTTTTCAAGCACTCATATCTAAGGCTAATTCTTTGGGTATATTCCATCCTTTCAAGTCTCCTTTTATTGCCTCTGTCAAGTCAACTTCGGTCATCCTCTACCTCTTTTCACGTTACTATCCTGGCTTAGGATTTCACTAGACACCGGTGCCTCTGGAGGTCTCCGTTGGACATGTTCAAACCATCTCAACCGGTGTTGGACAAGCTTTTCTTCAATTGGTGCTACCCTAATCTCATATATATCATCGTTCCGAACTCGATTCCTTCTTGTATGACCGCAAATTCAACGCAACATACGCATTTCCACGACACTTATCTGTTGAACATGCCGTCTTTTCATAGACCAACATTATGCACCATACAACAAAGCAGGTCTAATTGTCGTCCTATAAAACTTACCTTGTAGCTTATGTGGTACCCTTTTATCACATAGGACACCAGATGCTTAGTGCCACTTCATCCACCCTTCTTTGATTATATGGCTAACATCTTCATCAATATCCTCGTCTCTCTATAGCATTGATCATAAATATCGAAAAGTATCATTCCTAGGCACTACTTGACCTTCCAAACTAATATCTTTCTCCTCCCGAGTAGTAGTGCCGAAGTCACATCTCATATACTCAGTTTTAGTTCTACTGAGTCTAAAACCTTTGGACTCCAAAGTCTTCCGTCGTAAGTTCAGTTTCTGATTCACTCCTGTCTGGCTTTCATCAACTAGCACTACATCGTCCGCGAAAAGCATACACTAAGGGATGTCCCCTTGTATGTCCCTTGTGACTTCATCCATCACTAAGGCAGACAGATAAGGGCTCAACGTTGACCCTTGATGTAGTCCTATCCTAATCGGGAAGTCATTCGTGTCTCCATCACTTGTTCGAACACTAGTCACAACATTGTTGTACATGTCCTTAATGAGCCTGACGTACTTCGTTGGGACTTTATGTTTGTCCAAAGCCCACCACATAACATTCCTTGGTATTTTATCATAAGCCTTCTCCAAGTCAATAAAAAACATGTGTAAGTCCTTCTTCTCCCTATACCGCTCCATAACTTGTCTTATTAAGAAAATGGCTTCCATGGTTGACCTTCCGGGCATAAAACCAAATTGGTTCATAGAGACCCGCGTTATTGCTCTCAAATGATGCTCGATAACTCTCTCCCATAGCTTTATAGTATGGCTCATCAACTTAATTCCCCGGTAATTAGTACAACTTTGAATATCCCCTTTATTCTTGTAGATCGGTAGCAATATACTTCTTCTCCACTCGTCAGGCATCTTGTTCGATTGAAAAATATGGTTGAACAGCTTGGTTAGCCATACTATAGCTATGTCCCCGAGACATCTCCACACCTCGATTGGGATACCATCCGGTCCCATCGCCTTACCTCTTTTCATCCTTTTCAACGCATGTCTGACCTTAGATTTTTGGATTCTTCGGACAAAATGCCTATTGGTATCATCAAAAGAGTCATCCAACTGAAAGGTTGTATCCGTATTCTCACCATTGAACAATTTATCAAAATACTCTTGCCATCGATGTCGGATCTCATCCTCCTTCACCAAGAGATGCTATCTTTCATCCTTAATGCACTTAACTTGGTTGAAGTCCCTTGCCTTTCTCTCACGAACCATAGCCATCCTATAAATGCCCTTCTCTCCTTCCTTCGTACTCAAATATTGGTAAAGATCCTCATACGCTCTACCCTTTGCCACATTTACAGCTCGCTTCGCAGTCTTCTTTGCCACCTTGTACTTCTCTATGTTGTCCACACTCCTGTCATGGTACAAGCGTCTATAGCATTCTTTCTTCTTCTTAATAGCCCTTTGAACTTCCTCGTTCTACCACCAAGTATCTTTAGCCTCGCCTCCATTTCCTTTGGTTACTCCACACACCTCTGAGGCCACCTTTCGAATGTTGGTTGCCATCTTTTTCCATATGTTGTTTATGTCCTCTTCTTCCTTCCAATAGCCCTCTTTGATAACCCTTTCCCTGAATACATGTCTCATCTTTCAGTTTCCACCACTTTGTTCTTCGAATCTTAGCTTGTTTATCCCTATGGGCACGCACCTGAAAACGAAAGTCTGCCACCAAAAGCTTATGTTGAGAAACAACACACTCTCCTGGTATCACCTTGCAACCCAAGCATGCTCGTTTGTCTTTTCTTCTTGCGACGACAAAGTCAATCTGGCTAGAATGTTGTCCGATACTGAAGGTCACTAGATGAGATTCTCTCTTTCTAAAGAAAGTGTTGGCTATCATCAGGTCAAAAGCTACCACGAAGTCCAAAACTTCCTCCCCCTCCTGATTCCTACTACCATACCCAAAACCTCCATGAACTGCCTCGAAACCTGCGCTTGTAGTACCTACATGTCCATTAAAATCTCCTCCTATAAAAAGCTTCTCACTACTAGGTACAGCTCTAATCAGGCCATCTAAGTCTTCCCAGAACTGTCTCTTAGCACTCTCGTCGAGGCTTACTTGGGGGCATACGCACTAATTACGTTCAAGACCATATCACCAACGACAAGCTTGACTAAGATAATCCTATCTCCTTGCCTTCTCACTCCCACCACACCATTCTTGAGGCTCTTATCAATCAAAACTCCTACTCCATTTCTATTTACGACTGTCCCTGTGTACCAAAGCTTGAAACCTGCATTGTCCACCTCCTTCGCCTTTTGACCCTTTCATTTAGTCTCTTGAACGCATAATATATTTACACGCCTCGTAGTCGTGGTATCAATTAATTCTCTTAACTTACATGTAAGCGACCTTACATTCTAACTAGCTAAACAGATCCTAGTTGGTTTGACTAGCTTCTCTACCCTTAGCATTCGTCGACTCAGATGTGAAGACCTTTGCTCATTTTTGGCTGTAGTAACTTACCATTCGAAAAAATATGAACATTGTTTAGCAGCCCTCGATCTCCGTCGCCAACATCCTGACTTTTTGAAGAATAATATAAATATGGTGGAGCAAAGTATTATTCATGCCATAGGCCACTTTTTCTTTGTACTTTGGAATGGGCTGAGTCCGAAGTTGATCAGTCCTCATCAAAGAAAAGTTTGGACCATGCAATTGTTTCTACAAATTGGTTAACAAACTTGCTGAACAACACAGGTACCTTCATAACTGCATTGAGTACTGTATCCTAAGTTATGTTCAGAGCATACTCAGAGCTTGATTTCACCTTTCTTTTAACTGTCAGTAATCCACGCTATTTGTCTAGTGTATTACGCTTACGCTCATCATTCTTAACGACCCTAACTAAAGCATGCTTTTTTCAACTACCTGCTGCCATATATTTTCTCTCTTGATTATTTAATTTGTATGTGAAGGTCCTTGTTCACACCTTCAAGTATCTACTGGAGGGATCTATCCAGTATCTGTCTAAAGACGATGCTTTGGCTGGTTGGAAACAAAAGGAGGCAAAAATTGAAGATGTTGAAGTTGAACAGAAGGATAAATTTTGGAGGTTAAAAACTTAAAACTGTGGAATTTAATAGCTCTAGTTTTGAAAGCCTTATACAAATGTTTCCTTTGTGATAATTGCTGGAACTTAAAACTGCTCAGAAGATCCTCGATCCCTCTAATTTCCAGGTTGGTTGGTTGGTTCGTTGTACTACAAGTGTTTCCCTTTCCTTGCTGGCGTGTGCTTTTTGTAAGGCACAGAAAAAAGTGCATGGCAGTGACCTTTCATGTTCTGTTGTATTCCTGCTATCTCAAAGTATAAGGCGCGCATATTTCAAAATTCAAACTTCATAATCTTTGACCAACAATTAGTCTAATAATATAAAAAATCTGTGGTACAAAACTACTTGCATTATATTTTATTTACAAATACTCTGTAATGATTAAACTTTTGTTGCCACAAACGATATCCTATAACCTGTAAGAGGAATTAGCAGTCAAATTGTGCCTTTGGAGACGGCACCAACTCAAATCGGCGTCATGTTCTGTAATAATTCTTTGTTCCTATGATATTAATACCATCCGCTTTCAACCCGTGCAGTTTTTCCCAGTGATATCTTTGTATTTTAATATATTTGGTGTTTGCAGGTTCTTTTGAAGCCAATTGTCTCCCAATTTGTTATGCAACCACCATAATCTATTGAATCAGTTTTGGACTCTCCATCAATTGAAGAAGTAGATGAAACTATTATTTTGTGCTTGGGCCAAATGGCAGTCACTGCACAGTCAGATGTTCTTTGGAAGCCTCTTAACCATGAGGTGGGAATCTCTTTAAGGTTTTCAGATTTTTTGCCTATAACTTAGTGATGTACCTGCACTAACTAAAGTAATTTC